TGTGGTTATAATTTGCTGGTGATGTGAGAATGCTGTCTGTAACCATGATATTCCTGTGTTACTGGACAAACTTGATAAATAAAATACTGTCCTATAATCTTAGTTACAATAATGAATTAACTACAAGAATACTTGTGCGAGCAAGTGAGTGAAAGAGTGAGAGAGAAGCTTTTGCAAGCGTGTGAAAGAGTGAGAAAAGCTTGTGCGAGCAACGTGTGAGTGAAAGAGCAAGGTAAGCTTTTGCGAGCAACGTGTGAGTGAAAGAGAGCAAGAGAGAAGCTTGTGCAAGCAATGTTTGAGTGAATGAGAGTGAGAGAAGCTTTTGCGAACAACGTGTGAGTGAAAGAGCAAGACAGAAGCTTGTGTAAGCAATGTGTGAGTGAATGAGAGTGAGAGAAGCTTGTGTGAGCAATGTGTGAGTGAATGAGAGCAAGAAAGAAGCTTGTGCGAGCAATGTGTGAGTGAAAGAGCGAAAGAGAAGCTTTTGTGAGCAGTGGATGAGAGCAAGAGAAAAGCTTGTGCAAGTAATGTGTGAGTGAAAGAGTGAGAGAGAAGCTTTAGCTTTTGCTAGCAAAGGGTGAGGGGGGACTGCAAGCAAAGGGTGAGAGAAAAATGGAAAATTGAGGGGGAGAAGAGAAAAAGAAAAGAAAAGGCATTGACTTCTGAGTTTCACTGTTGCAGTAGGAAGGAAGCATTAACACTGAACCTCAACTTTTTACTTTTCCATATTATAAACTAGCCAATTCTATAACAACAAATGACTCTAACCAGTAAAGCCCACCCCCCTTTATTTTAGTCATCAAGTTTTTGACACCTTGCTGAGCACTGGTGGTACTCGAATATTGTCATGTCCTATAAGTGGTAAAATCTGTGAAATGGTTGTAAAGCCCAGGTGTAAATGGCTACATACACATAGAGAGAGAATGGTTTTCTCAAGGACTGATGACCATTTAATCTGCTAAAAAGGGTTCTGACCGAATCACACTATGGCTTATTGTAATTCCAAATCCTATATCCCTGTGTATCAGTTCAAAATAAGGGAGGATGAATGTTTCTGAGCAATCTGGTTACATGGTGGTGAGGACATTTGGATATGATTAGGGACAAATATGCAGTGGAAGAGAATCTATGAAAGTAACAAGAGGGCATGGTGACTTATGAATTAATATGAAGCACACTTTTTATTGATACAGATAATTTTATTTATTTATCTAATTTATATAGCCACCCACCTCACCAAAAGTGATTCTGAATGGCGTGCAACAAGCTAAAACAATAAATGCATAAATATATAACATCATGTATCAATTAATTATAAAAAACTTTTAAAAATTATAAAAACAAAACAAACAAGAAAATAACAGAAGGGTATTAATAATAGAGATACCTCACAAGTTTATCCATCTCCTGCCAGGTTTGCTGGCATCATCCTAACTTATCCTGTACTAGAGCTCTACTTTTTTCTCTGATATCTCATTTAAAATCTTCCACTTTGTAAAACCAAAGCAATAATACCTTTTAAAGAAGGTATTTAACCTGACATCCTGCAAAGCTACTATTAAGAATCAACATTAAGATCCTTTATATTTAAATTAGAGATAATATTGGATGCAGCATGGGGAACTAGTCTTAGGTGTGGCTCTTTTTAAAAAGCTGCAATTTCCCCAGCTATTGTCACTCTGTTGTCCCTGATTGTCACCAGCTACAAATTCCAGTGATTTACTGAGACACAGGGTATAATTTCCATCAAGTGTAAGGAGTTATAGCTCCACCAAACATCCCCTTTGGAGGGGCTGCTGATTGGCTGTCAACTGGGCATTGTTACATTCAGTTGTGAGCAATATGCATTGATTTTTTTCTTGCAAATGTGAAAAGGGTGAGGCAGCATAAAGAACAAACACATTGAAATTAGCTTTACTACCCCATTGATAAAGAAAATCAAAGAGGGGACACTCCCCAAGCCCTTTAAACTATGCAATTACCTTCCTTTTTATAGTTTTTCTTTCTTTTTTTTCTTTCTTCTGCAGATCACATGGCAAACACATTTTTCTGAAATACTTGAAAGCAGGAAATAGACATGTGCTAGTAATTATCATTATTATATATTTTCTCATGCTTCCTTTAAGGAATTCACAGAGGCATTTTAACATTAAAGCAACACTTGTGAGGTGTCAAGACTAACCCTTGCTAAAAACTGTTCTGTAAGAGAATTTGACAGCTGACTAAGATTAGAATTCAGGACTAATCCCTGGAATAGTAGGCACTAATTGACTCTGATAAACAAATATATACTGAATGCATCTTATTTCAATGCTAGGTTTTTTGGGGGGAAGATGGGGGGGGATCTTAACATGATTATCAGACTGACAGGTCATGATAGTGTAGCAATCTATTGCTGCTAAGTAATTTATTATTGTATTTGGTAATGTTTTACACATATCCCAAAAGGGCTTTTTCAGGAGGCAACTGGACTTTCTTGTTTTTCTTTGAAGACATTTCGCTTCTCATCCAAGAAGCTTCTTCAGCTCTGACCAGATGGTGGGGAATGGAAGGATTTATATTCCTTGAAGACAGCTGGTCATTTGCATTCTTTTAGAGAGTTGTTGGGGCCATTTGGAGGTTTTCTGTGTCCTCAAGGTCACCTGAGTAGTGCAAATGTGTATAGAACCTTCTGGCTGCAGGATATTTTCTGCCCTGTTCCTGTACTCTGCAATGTTTTCTGGAAATCTGTTCATACTCCTGTACCATTCAAAGGGAGTTCATCCCAAAGTGCATAGCTAAATGTCTAATTTATTGGATGAGAAGCAAAATGTCTTCAAAGAAAAACAAGAAAATTCAGTTGCCTCCTGAAAAAGCACCTTTGGGATAACCATGACCTGGATGACTGAGAATCTCAATAGACAATATTTTATACAGTTTTGCTTTATCTAGTTTTGTTTTAATTCTGTACAGTACCTAGAAGCACATATCAAAAGCAATGTAGAGATATAAGAATCATGCAATTTTTCTATTTCTAAATTTTGGCATGAGAATGTCAAACATGCCATGTTGTTCCCATAACAGGCATCACAGAATTCATTGTCTCGTGTCAGCTACAGTAAAGGTAGTTGTAATTAAATCTGCAGTGCTTCCTCAGTTACTTAAACATGGAACGGAGCAAACAAATTATTCCAGTGAGTGCACGTGCACAAGATTGTTACCGTTAAGTTGGTCCACCGGCTTCAGTAGAAATTGTAGAGCAATTTTATTAGCATTTGTACAAATCTTGTCTATGGCATAAACAAAGGACTTCAAATTATTAATGCAGATGGGCTGTTTTCCAGGTTTGTGCGGCTGTTTTGGAAGCTACTCTCAGCTGTCTGTACACATACACATCTTTTTCCAGACAGCTGCACAAGGCAGGAAGGAGATGAATCTGCTTCTACAATTCAGAGAGCTGCTTAATTTCTGCACTCATGACTTGTAAAGCACTTTTTTTTTCAAAGGATTTGCATAAGCACAATTCTACACATTTTACTTCAAGCAAATCCCACTTCATGGGCTAATAATAGCCTTACCCCTGACTTATTAGCCATTCTTAATTCTCAATAAGTTTACTTCTGTACATTTAGTTAAGGTACTCTAATCACTCTCCAGATGTTATATAAAAGTTGCATTATACATAATCTCCCCATGAAAGAGCAGCCAGAATTTTATAGGAATTGTGATATACACTTAATTGACTTGCTGACTCAGTCAAGATTTCTGATCATAACCTTCATTTGCTGCTTTAAAATAGTGTCACAAATTAGAGATCCGTGAATATTCAAGTGCACTGGAGCTTACAAGGGTCACTTATGCATTGGCTTCCTTATCTGTTTCAATAGAGATCCATATGTTTTTTCAAGTTTGGATTTGGTGTCTGGATACTAAAACTATTCTTAACCTGGAATTCTTCTGAATCATCATCATCATCCCAGGCATCCTATAATGCAAAAATGGGATTATTTGGAAGCAAAAATGTTCAGTAGTAAAATGGAACAGATTTAAATATTATAACACGCTGTTGTTTGTGGCTTGATGCATATGTGGCTATAAAAGAAATAATTTTTATGATAGCTCATTTATTTTTGCTGTCATATTAGAGTATGTGGATTATATTTATGTTTATATGAACTGTGTGTGTCTGAGATAGGGAGGCACCAGAGACTTTCTGTTAGTTAACCCTTGGCTGTTTTCTTTCTTGATTGTTTCATTAAAAAGTTTTATTAAAAGGAGAAATTCTGAAACCTAAAAGAAGGTGCATTCTCATTTGAAATCTTATTATGTTGGTCTCCAGTGACCCATTGTAGATATATATTGTAGGAAATACTTGGTAGTCAATATTACTAATCAAAGTACCGGTACACCTTGACTTACAACAGTTCATTTAGTGACTGTTCAAAAAAGTAGAATCTATTATAACTGTCATAAGTCACTGAAAAAAGCTGCAACATCAGTGGCTTGTGATAATTTTTCACACTTACGACCATTGCTGCATTCCCATGGTCACATGACCAAAATTCAGATGCTTGGCAAGTGACTCATATTTATGACCGTTGCAATGTCCCTGGGTCATGTGTTCACTTTTTGCAACCTACTGACAAGCAAAGTCAATAAGGGAACCAGATTCACTTAATAACCATGTTATTAACTTAAGAACTGCAGTGATTGACTTAACAAAGTAATAAAATGGGGCAAAATTCATTTAATTGTCTCATTTAGCAACAGAAATTTTGGACTCAATTGTAGTTGTAAGTCGAAGATTGTATTACAAGCTTTTAAAAGGAAAAGGAAAAGAAATTCTGAGAGAGCAAAAATGGTAGGAAGAAGTTAAGCTAATTCTGTCAGGACCTGCACTTTATAATCATACTCATCTTTTAGTAACTCTCTCCCAAAATGAGCAGTGAGCAGGCTACTGAGCAGAGAATAACTACCTGTTATTTCAGATATATACAAAACAATTTCTAATTTCTTCTCAGGACAGAGTCTGTAGCTGAGAAGATGCTGACTAATTGGTTTGCTTTCTTACTCCACAAGTTCCTAAAGGTAAGGAACCAGTGGCCTTACCCTTGGTTCCATTTTCTTTGTTCCTTATTTTTTGTGTTTTGTTGATTATATTTAATTTTTCAAGAGGATGATAGAAAACCAGTCCAGATGCTGGAAATAATACATAAAACAATACATAGTTCACTTTTAAAGCTGCCTTTTAGTCGGCTTACTACTGATACTAATTAATACATTGAGTATACTATTAGCAGTGTATTTGACTTGCTGTTCCTCAAATGCTTGCTCGCTGAACTGAACAATAAGATGCGCTTAGCCATAAGACTACCTCATAGGATTATGTACTTCCAGAATAAATGATAAGATTTTAAAAATCCATCTTCCTTTCTCTTCAACAAATGCTACCAAAAAGGAATAGCATATTATTTCTAAACCATATTGTATTTGGAGCAACAACAAAGTGAATTGTCTGAATGGCTTGATTAAAAAAATTAAAGTATAACAATGTTAACATTTAACTTTTCTTAAATAACTTATTTCTTTATTGCTGTGTAAACTCTTTTCCTTACCAACCAGGAATGTGCTGGAGAACCACTCTTCATGTTGTACTGTGCCATCAAGCAACAGATGGAGAAAGGCCCAATTGATGCTATTACAGGGGAAGCACGTTATTCCCTCAGTGAGGACAAGCTGATCAGGCAGCAGATTGAGTACAAAACACTGGTGAGTGGGTGTCTTCTCTCAACAGTTTATGCTAGCACCACCCGCTGATCATCATGTGAAATATAGCAAGGGTTGATTCCCTGGATTCAGATATGTATTAAACCAAGAATCTCCATGATACCTCCAAAATGTTCTGATAGAAGAGCTTTCTCATGAAGAAACATATATGGCAATTTAAAATATCAAAACAGAGAGGCTTCCTTAGAACAAGTGAGGAAGGGAATGTTTTACTGAGGGTATCCATAAATAAAACTAAGCCTTATACTTTGAAGCCCCTTAATTTCAATAGTGAAACCCAACATTTCTAATTGTCAAAGGGTTTTATTTCTGTTTCATAATTTTATTTGATGTTTCTATGTATGAAATTAACTTCCCAAACTATTGTATATTTCACTTCGTATAAGCAATTTTTTCTCATTTGGAAAATATACAGGCAATCGAATGGCAATCTATTTCTGAGTATATATTTAGCAAATTCAATGAAGTTTATATCCTATTTCCACATGAAGGCTTTTTTTAACCTGACATAAGCAATTATTTTCCCAGTCTAAGTAACACTAATGTAACACACTAGATTTTCTTGTTGGAGCTATATACAGTAAAATATTTCCAGCTTATTTCTAATCATTACTATGACTAAATGGTGATGGTTTCTCCCTAGCATTTCCAAGTTTAGCTTCCATTTTAATTATTTTGTTTTTTTAGATCTTGAACTGTGTGAATCCGGATAATGAAAATAGTCCTGAGATTCCTGTGAAGGTGCTTAACTGTGATACTATCACACAAGTCAAGGAGAAGATTCTTGATGCAGTATATAAAAATGTCCCATACTCCCAAAGGCCTCGAGCTGTTGACATGGACTTGGGTAGGAATCTCTTTGTTTTGTGATAGCAGACAGAAATATATGAGTTTGGGTTTTCTCTGTGAAGGAGTCACGATATGTAAGGAACCCATAGAAAATCATACAGAAATTGTCCCAATTTAGAACTATGCATTTGGTTATAGTATTATTGTATTTATTAATATTCTATATATAGAAAAATACTTTATGTTGATGTCATGGTTCCAACAGACAGAGACAAATAAAGCAGGACTCTGAGGCTTGGAAATTCTTCAAAGAACATGTTTATTAGTTACGAAGTATCGCACAATCAAAAGTGAAACCAAGTCTGAAATTCATACTAAAAAATTTCCAGTTACAAAGTATAATGTCCCACCCACAAAACTATGCCATCACTACATTCCCCCATACATTCATTTGGTGGGCTTTCTTATACAACATTCAGTCCCTGATCACGGGAGCAATAGATGACCTTGGTTCCCACAGGACAGAAGGTTATTTTGACTAGTGAAGCACCTGGGCAAGCCCCCCTCCCTCCGTTCTATGTGGCAACCTACAATGAAGAGAAAGATGGCTGCAGCCAGGCTCATTATAGAGTTGACAGTTGACCACAAATGTTGTGTCCTTATTGGAGTAAGATTGCTGAAGAAAAGTCCAGTGTAGATATACATAATGTTTATTGTGAAGGTGGTCTTAGTTTCTTTTTCCTTCACTGTTTACAAAATATATCAATTCTGGATTGATTCAGATTTAAGCTACATAAGAGGATAATTGCATAGGGTACAGCCAATCCTCATATTATTCTAAATTGAACATATAAGGTCTTAGTGTGGATTGGAAGCAATTGGAAAGAGCTAATCCCCAGCTTTGTCATCTGATCTATCTCATTTTATATATATAAACAAAAATAAGACTAGATAAAGGAGGGTTTTTACTGGGGAAAGAAAGAATAAATTGTAAAGTTTATTTATTTTGTAATTTAAAAGTTCAGAGGTAAGTTTTTTCCCTCCCATGCCCACAATACATGATTCTGATTGTGTGTTTAATGTATAACAAGAATAGAGTCAGCTATAAGCAATGTAATTAATGTATATACATTTGACTATTCTGATGCTGCCTAATTCTCTAAGATCTCCTAGAAGGTTTTCTGTATAGATGGGAGAATACAACAGATTGTCTGCAATCCGCTCTGAAATATTGAGGTCAGTCTCCCCAGTCTCATCTGTTGAAACCAGCAAATATCAACTGTGAAGGAGTAACCAGCTGTTGAATGTCATTTCTTCTTTATTTATTTGTTTATTTAATTAAATTATTTATTTATGAAAGATCAGCATTTTGAGTTTGCCATTCCCACAATGAGATTTCTAGGCTTCTAATCTGATTCATGAGTCTATTGTTACTCTTTTTATAGAATGGCGCCAAGGTCGAATAGCACGTGTGGTACTTCAGGATGAAGACATCACAACCAAGATTGAGGGTGACTGGAAGCGGTTAAACACATTGATTCATTATCAGGTAGGCAAACAAAACCTAGCATGCAGGTCACAGAAATTAGTTGAGTGGACCGAAAGGGAGAAGGGGTGGAAAAATACCTGAATTCTAATTCCTCAGCATCTTTTCTAATAAGACAGGCAATGAGAGGCATATTTAGATGATAAATCAGAATGGTTCAGCATGTTCACATATTAAAAAGGAAAACCGTTCTGATGCACATCTCACAGAAACAAGCAGACCTGTAAATTGAATAAATTAAAAATGCCAGCTGTGCTCCTGAGACAGACAGTATATGCAGATGACCTAAAAGGGCAGCAAGTGTAGAACACAATACTGTTGTTTTATACCAGCTTTGCATTGTATTTCTTTGATCTCAACCTCAGTACCCTGTCAGTGGACCTTCAGAGACACTGACTTTCAGCTCAGAGAACTTCTTGCCTGGGCATGTGGAGATATCTGTTTAGTATATATTGTACACAGTTGCTCAGATTTCCTCAGAACTGGACACCAGCCTTGTTGCAGATCTGATAGAGAGGTCTGGGGAGGAATCTTGCCCAATGATCTAGGATTGGACTGAGCATGCTAGGCCTAAGGAAGTTCTTAGGATGCGAATTCAGCCACCTGCTCTTTAGAGTCATGCACAGGATTCAGTACTCTTTATTCAACATCTACATGAGTCCACTGGGTGAGCTCATCCATCAGTATACTGATTAGGTCATCGGTATGCTTTTTCTCTGCCCATGATAAAATTAAGCAATACTGCAAATGTCTTACCTAATCCCTGGAGGCTATGAGGTTCTGGATGGGGAAATAGCAAGCTTCTGGAGAACCCTGGCAAGAACCTGAGTGGCTTTATTTCAGGACACCAGTTCAAGGACTATACCATCTTTGATGATGAGTAGAGCTGCACTGCCCCAAACAGACTCAATGTGCAATCTGGGAGTCCTCCTGTACTCATGACTCCTGCTCATGACCAGTGCATTTATATCTAGGAGAGCCCTTGAAAAGATTTGGGTAGTGTACAGTTGGGCTTGTGCCTAAATCAGTGGCTTTGGTCACAGCCACACATGTCATCTTCCACATGGACTATTGTAATGCACTCTGCTCTTGAAAAGTATCAAGAAGTTTCAACTACATGCAGAAGCATAGCCAATTATGCATGCTTCTAAAAGAGCACATGTTACACCTCTGCTCCAGAGCTAAATTGGTTCCATTTGTTTCAGGATTGAATTCAAAGTGCTGGTTTTAACATTTAAAGCCCTTCATGGCATGGGAATAGTTAGATCTGTCTGTCCATTCACATCTGGATGAGAAGATATATTGTGGGTCTCATCTGCTAGGGAACTACACTTGGCAAGCCTTCCTTGCCCTAGTGACTGCTTTATGGAATATTCTCTTCCCTGAGGTGGGTAGCTCCATAAGAAACAGTCAAAATAAACATCTCAGGCTATCAAGATGCATGTGTAAATGATTTTCCACGAAGCTGCCTAGAAAGCTGCTTTTAGGAAGAGATGCTAGTTTTATATGACACTGTTTCCATAATGTGAAGATTTGTGACTTTCACCTTTCATTTTGGATGTAGCCCAATATGCCATAGAGCATACAAATTCTGACTTTCTGATTAAACAAGCAATAACTATGACATCAAAAGGTGCTAGTGATGATATGTTGCCAATTCTTGGTATGAATATCAGCCAGTCCTATCTGCTTGCTCAAGTCTGGTGTACGTTTGTAATCATCATGATGAACAATATTCCAAAGAGTAGAAATGGCCCACTACAACAAATCCTAATTATGCTATTTTTATGAGTAAACCTTTTATTCATATCCATTTAGTCTCCTATTTATTAACTCTTTTAAGGGTAAAAAGAGTGGGAGATTGATTGTTGCTCAACCACATGTTTAGAATTCAATATAGGGAGGATATGTGATTTTTGTCAAGTCTGGTTAGGAGATCATACCCAGAAAATTATTAGTTCTGCTTGAATCTAAATACTGTGTATCTATCAATTCTTCTGGATGCTGTACAGTGTCCTTGAAGTGGAACAATTTAGTTACAATTTGGTCCTTTAGGAAATATTAGTTAAACTCATATAACATGACCTGGAGCCCATGCACAGTTATATGTTATATGTTTTCAATTTAGCTCTTATTCAATGAAGATATCCATCTACTATAAGAATAAATACTCACATGGACAAACAAATACATCTCAATTGTCAGATAAATTAATTGGATTTGAACAAATATTATTTGGCCACCTTTAACCTACAGCAGTGGTGGCGAACCTATGGCACGCATGCCAGAGGCGGCACTCAGAACCATCTCTGTGGGCACATATGCCATCGCCCCAGCCCTGCCTCCCATCATGGCCCCCTCCTCATCAGCAGCTCCCCTGGAGGAGAGTTGCCCCCGAGCGTGGCCTGCACAGAGCAGCACAGCCAAGGACATGGCAGCCAGGCAGCGGGAACAAGACTCCACCCTCGTGTCCCATCGCACGCAGTTGATGCTGTGGGGCACGGGCGGAGGGCATGGCCGCCATGGTGCTGCTGGACCGCCTAGGTGATCAGTGGGCTGTGGAGGCAGTGACTGGCCCTGTGGGTGGGTGGGGGATGGGGCAAAGGGGGGGAGGTTGGAGCCGGTTTTTGGACACTCGGTCTCTAAAAGGTTTGCCATCACTGATCTACAGCATAAACCCCCTTGACCTTTACATGATCCAGTATGAAAGAATCTTAATAAAATTATCTAAGAGTAAAACTGCCCTCTTGACCCTCCTTCTGAAATTGTTTGCTTTTGATCCCAAACACAGTGATTGTAGTTAGTGAACAGAGTAGGAAATATGACCTTGATAGAGATACACTGGATCTGATGCCTGGACAAAAAGGGTATAAACATTATTTTTAAGCCCCTAGCAACTATATAAAGTTTGGAAATGTCTCAAGCAGATGCCTCTCTAATTCACTCCATCATAAGATGGTAGAGGGGGTATGGCAAAATCAGGTTTTCAAGATTCTGTTGTTATAGCCAGTCTCATAGCCAGTAGTTTCACCTTCCGCCAGTGTTGATTTCCTAGTCTGGTCTACCTAATGGGCCTGCAGTTAGGTATGAATACATTTTAAAAATTCTGAGGTATAGACTTCTATATGTGAGGACTGTCTCTGATGTGGACCTTTGCACAGATCCTGAATATAGTCTTTCTTTCTGTTGACATCTATGCTCAGTACATGGACATGGGGAAGGAAGCCACAATTTTCCTCTCCTATAAAGAACCTTGACTGCATCTATGACAAAAACTTCAAGTTTTTTCTATGGAAAAAATTAGAATTAAAAAAAAAATCTAAAGCAGTTGTGAAGCTAAATATGTCCCAACTACAATATTCCTATTCATTCCCCAAATTATTTTATTCTACTTGTCCTAGTGCACTGGACTTCTAAAATCATCATTATTCTTCTCTTGGGATTTACCTAAATATTATATGGCAGGAGAGTTGTGTTTCAAGGTTAGCAAGTAAGTTGCCAACATCCCTCTTTAAATAGAAATACACATTATCCATGTCTACATAGCAATTTAGTGATAGTCATGCTAATTTTAAATAAATAATATAAAAAGCTAGGCAAGAGCATGGCAGTCAATTATACATTTTTAAAATCAACATTGTCAAATAGTTATCATTGAATAGAGTGAATGATTGCTGAATTTTTCTTATGCATTGCCAATTTTAGCATAAATAAAGGAAGCAAATCACTCTGTTGTTATAAAAAAAAACACTTGTGAAAATCCAGTGCAATCTTTAACTGTCTTTGCTAACAGCATAGCCAATGAAGTTAAATAAGAATTAACCTCCACTTAAGATTTAAGCACCTTTCCTATTTATTTATTTCTTAGGTTTTGTGACTGTTCTCTGGTCAACTTTGTGCCCATTACAAGGATATGTGGGGGGGGGAGAGAAATTCTTGATGTCACACCAATATTTATATTCAGTCAACAAATAATTGGGTCAGATTCTTACTCAACTCCTAGTCACCTTTGCAAACCTAGAACTTCATTGTTTGATAAATTCATTTCCCCAAGGATTCAGTGTTTTTACACTTGCAAATCACATTGTGCAGGCAAGAATTGTATGGCAGAAGAATGTAATGAATTTTCAATTGCAATACTGATTAGGGTGAAGCAAAGAATACATAGAGCTCAGAAAGTAGATTTAACCCAATGAGGTGAGCTCATCATCAAGCTAACTGGGAATATTTGAAGGTTTAGGAAAGAACTACAAGTTGGAGATAGCTACAACAAACTGTCATGCTACAACAAACTGAAAACCACCTAGTTAAGAAAATCTGCACTAAAAACAGGATGCCTGAAAGGTAGCTTATGTAATATTCAGTTTTAAAATGAGTCCCAGGAAGTCTTGAACTGGTTATCTCACTGTTTCTTCTTAGTAAAAGAAGAATTAGTAAATTAGTAAAAAAAATAAAGAAAATTAAGCATTTAATAGAATAAGCCTTGCTGAAGGAAAATTCACAAAATGTAAAGCTTGCCTCACCAACTTTTCAAAGTTTTCTGAGAGTGTCACCTGGCACATATATGGCATTTAGCCCTCTTGATGTTGTATACTAGAGCTTTCAAACAGCCTTTGACACATTCCTCTTCCAAGGTTACTGAATAAATTAAACTGATGCCATGGGATAAAATAACCTGCCTGTCCTTTTATGGATTGATTGATTGATTGATTGATTGATTGTATGTATGTATGTATTTTGTTTGTTAACTGATTAAAAAACAAAAAGCAAAGAGTGAAATAAATGAACAATTTTCTTAAAGGGAAAAAGTGGAGTGTCTCTAGTATGTTCACTGGAACTGATGCTTTTTAACTTGTTCATAAGTATCCTTGAAATAGGGTCAAGTAATGAATTGCTTAAATACCAAACTATCTAGAGCAGGGGTATCAAACTGGTGGCTTGCAGGCCGGATGCATCACATGCAGGCCATGCCGAGCCCAGCTCCACAAAGGCAAAAAATGTCATGATACATCACGATATGTCACGTAACACGATCAAGTTTGATACCCATGATCTAGAGTGATAAAAAGTCAAGTGTAATTATAAACATTCCAGGCAGATTTATTAAACTGTGGAAATGGCAACCTGATCCTCATTGGAAAAAACACCTACCTTCACATATATATTGATGGGATCGGAGTTGTCTGTAAACTAGATCTCTCTCTCTCTCTCTCTCTCTCTCTCTCTCTCTCTCTCTCTCTCTCTCTCAGATATATAAACTACTTTTTTCCAAGCTTACATGGAAATCTCCTTTCATTTTACTTGTGATGTAGAACTGCACTAAGAGAGACTATCACTAGCCCAAAGTCAGCCAATGATTTTCCATGGTGAGGATAATTAAACACCTTAAATATTATACCATACTGGAGCTTTAGTGGATAATTCAATAGAAATATCAAGCTAGTGGGTAATGACTTTGAAAAGATAGCCTTTATGCTAGGGGACATTAGGGAATTATTGAAAATAAAACTGCCAACATTGTCACTGTCAACTCTATAATACTATCTTCAGTTCTAGTTAATAGAGTTTAAAAAGTTCAGAAGATACAACCAAAGTTATGGGAAATCTTTTCCTTAAGAGGAAAGGCTTGAATGAATGGGATTGGGGAAAATGACTTCAGGGGAACAGGGCTAAGAGGTATAAAACATATCTGCTATGGAGAAAGTGGGCAGAACGACATTTACTCCCACTCAAATCAGTAGAACCAGAGCTCATCCAATAACACTGATTGATAGGAGATTAAGAACAGATAAAGTAAAAGCCCTCTTCACACACTGCATGATTAATTCTGGAATTTATGACTGCAAGATGTGATGATGGCCACTAACTCAGATGGCTTTACAGTAGGATTGGATAAATTTGTACATTCCAGCTTCCTAAGACTGACTAATCTTGGAAAAGCAAAGTTATCTCTAGACCAGGGACATCATGCCTCCAAATTTCATTTGCAAGCAAACAATGGCAGAAAATAAATATGTCTCCATCTCCCATTTGAGAGTACCCCAGAAGAATGTGACTGGCTGCTAAGAGAAACAAAATGCTGGACTAAGACATGCTAACTTCTCTTTAGTACTAGTTGCCTAAAGCATGTATTGCAGAGTTGCTAGTATTTTCCTGTGCTCCTGGTTTGCCCTTTGCATTAATCAGACTGTTGCCCCAGCTGACAGTAATAGCTGTTTCTATTTCATGAGAATGAAAAAATAATAATTTGCTACTAAATGTGCACAATCTATTCTTAATATATCACTTATCAGCTCTACTCAAAGTTGTTTAAGCTGCAGAGAGCACCTAGTTTTTCTTGAATAGAAATTTTATCAAAGTGACACTTTAACACATACTAGTTGCAAGTTATTAGTGATTTTTTAAAAAAAGACTTCTTTTTTATCACTAAATAGTGATACATCACTAAATAGTGATGTAATCCTGAGCCAAGATTATCTGTTTTACTGTAATTAATAGTGATTCTAGAACTTATTTGGAGTCAAGGGATTTTTTTTTCTTAGAAGAGACCAAGGTACAGTTTAAGACAATAATTGTGACTAAAAATGTGTTGTATTCATTTTTGTTCCATTGCTAGCTGTATTTTATTCTAAAAATATTATGATATCTAATAATGTCCAAAACAGATTCACAAATTTTGTGGGGCTTTTGAATCTTTACTTTAGTAGTGGGAGTTTATGAACCAATAGAAATATATTATAAACCAGAAAAGTACATGCAACCCCACCAAGCTGCACATAATATACAGCTAGCAGATTTCTTATTTTGCCCTATGACAGCCCAAGAGATAAACCAGATCAAATAACTGACTCCACAAGATTAGAACTATATTTTATTTAGATAGTCTATAATAACAGTATAAGTGGCATTACAATAATCTTACAAATCTTCCTCAGAAGCACCCTGCCTGAGTGTTTTATTTCTTTGTTTAACTAATTAAAATAAAAATGTGCATATATTTCAACATACAATTTCTCTAATTATTTTTATATCATTTAATAGCACATCCATTCTCACATATAACTTCAGTGTATGTAAATTAGAATAGCTCATTCCAACATGCAAATCTATTTGAAATTTCTCCCAAATCTAATTCTAGAAGGAAAGCTTGAAAAATGCCAATGTTGATGTCAAACAATAAGTAATTAAATTCTAGAAATTTAAAACACAAAATATTTATCCAATTCTGTTTCAAATGATAAAGTAATATGTTTTTGGAATTCATTTCTTTTGGATTATTCCAAAAGAATAATTAACCATAACCACCCTCTGGAACGAACTACCCCCTGAGATTCGGATAATTCCGGATCTCCTTACCTTCCGTCGCGCCCTCAAGACATGGCTCTTTCAGCAAGCGGACCTGACCTAGGGTGGATTTTATACTGGGTTTTTTAGGAATTTGGAAGACACAACTTTAAATTTGGTTTAATTCGGTTTTAAGGGGGGGATTGTATATATGCTTTGGTTTTAAATAT